TTTTTTTTTTTTTTTTTTTTTTTTTTTTTTTGTCTTTTAAGCCAGGGTCTCCCTTTAACCCCAGCTGGCCTGGAACTACCATACAGGGTAACCAGGCTGGCCTCCATCTCACAAATACCACCTGTCTGCCTTCTGAGTGCTAGGATTAAAGGCATGCACTACCACTCCTAGCTGGAGTGACTCACTCTTGATTTGGGGTCCTATCCTACCCAGTATGCAATTCTGCTTTGTGGTTGATTGTAGTATTAATTCAAATTCCCTAAATAAAAGATTTGTTTTTTAGCAAAGGATATATACTCTCAGAGCACCCAAACACCCTTTAGTTGTACATGGCCTTGTACAGAAGCATTGGATTCAGTCAGGAGACTCAGGAACTAGTGTTCACACTCACTTCTCCTGTGACCTTAGGGGAGGCACTCAGTTCTAGGTTCTAAAATCCATAACTTAAAATGAGAAAGTTAGATCCATTATCTCTGAGGTCCATTACAACTGGTATTCTTTAGTGTCAGTATAAACAGCTAGGGGGGCTGAAGAGATGGCTCTGGGGTTAAGAGCACTGACTGCTCTTGCAGAGGACCTGAGTTCAGTTCCCAGCACCCTCATGGTGACTAACAACCATCTGTTACTCTAGTTCCAGGGGATCTAACGCCCTCTTTCCGGCCTCTGCAAGCTTTGTGCAACATGAGCATACCTCTATACATTCTGGCAAAATGCTCATACACATAAAATGAAAATGAAGGAAAGAAAAGCAGCTAGTGATCCCTCTTGATTGAACAGAAATCAGCCTCTTTTGACTTGTAAATATTCGCCAACCTGGCTTTATCACCAGAAGAAATGGTTTTTTAGGCTTTCCATTTGTTTTAAAGTATAGTTGTCCATAAAGAACCTCATAAATGTGGTTATAATTACTTTCAAAGGGAATATATTTCTTAAAAGTGTAATATGTAAGCTGTAGAGCACTCATAGCAGGAAGTGAAAGTGTTTTGTGACTCATTCTACAATTTACCTTTTTATTTTTAAATATTTTTTATTTTATGTATATGAGTATATTGCTTGCATGTATGAATGTAAGTGCACCAGTGTTGTGCAGTGCTCATGGAAGTCAGAGGAGGGCGTCATATCCCCTGGAACTGGAGTAGCAGATGGTTGTTAGCTGCCATGTGGGTGCTGGGAATTGAACCTTGATCCTCTGCAAGACCAGCCAGTGCTCTTAACTACTGAGCAATCTCTCCAGCCCCCTAACTTACTCTTCAGTGTGTAGATTTTCAGATCCATTAACAAAAGAAGCACATGGGTTGGGGCAGGGGGTGTTGGTGGCTGGAGATGACTCAGCAGTTAAGAGTACTTGCTTTTACAGTACTTGCTGTTCCCAGCATCCACTTGGCATTTTACAACCACCGGTAAGCTCTAATCCCAGGGGATCCAGTGCCTTCTGGCCTCCCTGACACCTACACACACACACACCACATACACACATACATACATACACAATGCACATACATGCAGGCAAACACTCATACACATAAATTTTAAATTTTTAAGTGTGTGTGTGTGTGTGTGTGTGTGTGTGTGTGTTGCCTGCATGTATGTAACTGCACCCATGTCCTGCAGTGCCCATGGAGGACAGAAGAGGCTGTCAGATCCCCTGAAACTGTAGTTACAGATAGTTGTTAGCTGCCATGTAGGTGCTGGGATTCGAACCTGGGTCTTCTGCAAGAACAACCAGTGTTCTTAACTGCTGAGCCATCTCTCCAGTCCCTTATTACTTTTATTTCTATGTGTATCACCTGCATGTATATAAGTGTGCCTGTGTCTTGCAATGCCTGCAGAGGTCAGAAAAGGGTGTTGGATACCCTGGAACTGGAGTTACAGACTGTTGTTAGTTGCTCTGTGGGTGCTGAGAATTGAACCTGGGTCCTCTGCCAGAGCAGCCAGTGCTCTTAACTGCTCAGCCATCTCTTCAGCCCCCCCCCCTTTTTTTTTTAAAGGAAAAATAATGACACAGTTGTAGAAAATCCAAGCTAGGAAAAGAATGCATGATGTGTCCAGTACTGCTTCATACTTCTGCTTGGATCAGGAAGGGGCTGTGCTTGAGTTTGGCAATCAGGCATGTCATAGGAGTAATGACACTCAGCTCTTTTGTGTCAGCTTCTTACCAAATGGTACTGTACTGCTCCATGGAATTAACCATTCTTGGTAGCTCAGAGCACAGCCCCCTCAGGACCAGTAACAGAAGCTTTGGTCTTCATCTCCATTACATTACAGATGGGCAGGATATACATATCACTTGCCATGGCAAAACTTTTCCCTGTCTCAAAAACAATTAAATGGAACTGTGGGTTTTGAAAACAGAATGAAGAAATAGTTCACTGGGAGTGCCTTGTGTCTGTTCAGGAGTATCAAATAGCAATGAGTGGACACAGTAAATGGGGTGTTATTGTGTGCTGTTTTAGGCAACAGCAACATCTAGGAAAGGTTTTTTTTTTTTTAACTTTAAAAAAATTTTTTGTTTATTATTTTTATTTTATGTGTATATGTGTATTGCCTGCATGTAGGTAAATGTACATGTGTCGTGCAATACCCACAGACATCAGAAAAGGCTGTCGGATCCCCTGGGATTGGAGTTACAGACAGTTGTTAGCTGCCATGTGTGGTACTGGGATTTGAACACTGGTCTTCTGCAAGAACAACCAG